TGAGTAGCAGCATTTGCGATGTATCATTCATTGCTGCAGTGTTGAGCCGTCATATATGAGTCGTCACACGTGGGATAGTATCTACTGGTCTGAGCTCGTGACAGGTATGGACAATAAACTTGATTAAATAATAATAATGATGATAATGATAGCACCAAAATATTATCGCTCAGAGAATAAAAGGGGACTCCTATCCTCTCCTTCTACAACAATCCTGATTTTCTTTGACATAGAGTGTATCTTGCCTAAATGCCGAAGGTTGGAAATCTCATGTTCTCGATCAACCTCCAACTGTCCCATGAGGAGTGGAAAGATGGATGATTTCCATAGCACGGGTTGACCACGGCTAACAATTGCTGTGGTCATGAAGAGACAAATGGACAAGATGACGGTTACTATGGGAAGAATAACCCACGGCCAACGGACATGGATGAATGTCTCAGTTCGGTAAGCTCTTCCGTAGACTTTAGTGAGTCCAGTGCCTGAGCGAATATTGTCGGTCATACTAGTGGCCATTCTGCTGAATGATTCAGTGATGTTATCACTATAGTTGAGAATTGGGGCTAAGAGAAGACCAGACGTGGCTTTGCCATCAAAGCGACTAAGAACGGCATCGAAAAGCATTCCAAGATGCATCTGAAGTTGTAAATGGGCAATGCGAGAAATATGGTAGGTCGAGTTGCTTGACAAGGCCTTCGCCCCATCCACAGGTATGAGAGTTCTCGTTGCGGTGTCCCCATGGTAATTGCTGATTCGTAGAGATTGGCTTCTTGATGGTTGAACGTTGCGTTTGTTCGTGGAAACATGGTTCTGTGTATACTGTTTTTCACACAGCTGAACTGAGCATTGCGTCATCTGAGGCTTTGGCTCACTCATACTGATGTTCTCAGTAGTATACTTAATGGTATCAGGATTGTACTTTGCCATGAAGACAGAGATAATCTGGGCAAGTTTCGATTCGGAAACATCTGGCTTGGGAACGATAGCTCTAAAGCCACTACGAAATATCTCAATAGTGTCATTGGAAGTCGATGCATTAGGGGCCCCTGGGACAAATGTAAACCCATTCGGGGCTGAGTATTTGCAGTCAATAGGAATCGATGCGGCCATTCTGCGGAGTGATGGAGTACTGGGATGAGAAAGGATATCATGCCAATACTTCCATTTAAGAGTGGAGTTCTGTCCATCATATGGTCTTGAAATTGGCCGGCAGTCCTGTGTTGCTGCTTCTGTAACATCTTCACAAGACGTACAAATTCCAAGCGTGGTGAAGTCAGGATAATGGCAGGATTCTGAGGGACACTTTGCGTTGAGTGGGATGTTTATTTGTGCCAACCCATTAAATACGGCAGGCTGCATTGTATGGTCCATTTGGAATGTGCTCGTGTCCCATTTGGAAGAATAGTCCTGTGCTTTCTGGACATATGCAGTCTCATTTAGCGCTTGTACTTGTCGTGATGGGAACGCTAAGATCTGCTGTGCAAAAGGATCGATGGCAACAGCAGTGGCCATCAGCGCTGCTCCAGCCAATGCTAGAAACGACCTGACTCTCCATAATATTTCCAGGGATCCCCAAGGACCACGGCTGGCTTGGTCAAGAAGATGGAAATGATAGAGTTGCGTTGGTTTTGGATCGCGGCCGTGTCCCCACTTTAACTGGCCGAGACAGGCCGAAACTGGAATAAGCATCGCTGCCTTTATGAAAGCCGCAAGGACGGAAATCACTGCATTAGGTGAGATAGAATATTGCCAGCTGATATAGGCTTTCCCATTCACGTATCCTAGAAAACCTATTAAGAGAGCAAGACAGGTGACACTGAGAATGGCACCCCCAGCCTCCCAGGTCCAGGAACCTTCCCAGTCGTAATTGTTGAGTGCCTCCTTTACGCGTGAAAGCTTTGTCTCTTGCGACTTAAATACTTTCTCGCTTGGTTGAGAAGCGGCTTGGGATTCGCTTTTTCTGCCATGATCAATAGATCGGCTGAGGTTTTCGGAATTATTTGAGTTTTCTGATGTCTCTGTTGATGACGGAGCCCCAGTAAGTGACGAATGCGTATCCATTTTCAGCGGCTGCGAGAGCTGTGGGCTATGGTTAACCTCGGAGCCCTGCGAATTGTCGAGGGCTGCATATTGATTCATTGTTGTCACTGAGTTATTTCTTTCGAGATTGTGATAGTTGGAATGGGCTGGTAAGATCCCTTTTCCAGTAATGGAACAATCAACATCAGCATACAGGCAATGGATATATGGCCCTGAAATAAGAGATTGACCAGCACACAAGCCCACAAAAAGAGAGAGAGAGAAAGAAACAGGAGAAAATAGGAAATCAGCATGAAAAACACCCCGCAGCGCCCTGAAGAGGCTGGAATCTGCAGACAGGGCTGTGCAAGGCTATGGGCTGTGCAAGGTTACGGACAAGGCTGTGCAAGGCTACGGACAAGGCTGTGCAAGGCTACGGACAAGGCTGTGCAAGGCTACGGACAAGAGCATCAATTGGTGTGAGCGGGAAGGAGTACTGTAGATCTGTAGGAGATGCTAATTCCTACCATTTTTATACGACGCTCAATGTAATTGACGAACGAAAATAGTAAAATAATGTACAAGGGAAAAAGCCTGTTTCATCTGATCACACCACACTTCCCCTCATCAATCAGTGATCTATCAACTATGGTGCCGGGTCGTGATGAGATCCTAGATAGCGGAGTGGGAAAAGGTTACTCCGACTAGGCGAGAACCCCTGAGAGTATATGAGGCCTCATCCGAAGGCGCATATTAGATAGTTAAGCACTCTGAATATCGTGTACTCTATGCTACGTTAGGCAGAGTAATATAACCGCCGTTGTTTGTTTTATTCTGTTATATAGCCTCGTGCAATTGGTCCTTCGACTCCCTCGCCTTATTCCCCTGAGTAGGCCTCGAAATGTCCGACTCAGGTTCCAAAGATCGGAACCTCGAACCTAAATCTGAGTCGGGTCGCGGCTCCATCAGGGTCGACTCAGGTTCGAACCTGATGGAACCTGATTTGCATAATTCTGCCAATAATTTCCTTTTTTGGATGCATAAAATGATGATTCATCTTGATTTTTTACCGTAATCTGTTAGGGTTTTAACTCAAGTTGTCTTAACCTAAAGCTACCCTTTACTATACAAGAAGGAATCGTTGAAGAAGAAACAAACAGGGCAGAGGTGGGAGCGGTCTTTTATGGTCGTACGGGAATGAGATTCCAAATAGTGTTCTCGGAGGTCAGGAGTTGACCGAAAAGGTCACCGATAGTCTTCATGTAAGGGGATCGTACGAAGGTCGTCAATAGTCGTTTCGGTCCCCTTGCTGGCTGCGTTCCGTGCTGGCCTTAGCCAAACTGTCATCCTTTGGGTTCGTACGAGAACCCCATAACAATACAGTCCGACTTCATCTTCGAGAGATGGTCCAAGCACAACAGCAGGGTCTCCTTCACAAACTTCCTACGGGTGCTAAAATGTCTATTGCATTAGACTGCTGGACCTCACCCATTCAGCAGGCCTTTATGGCTGTCACAGGCTACTTTATTGATGCAGATTGGAACTATCATGAGATCTTGCTTGGCTTTGAACCACTTCATGACACACATACAGGAGTCAATCTAGGCTCAGTTCTCTTCGACCTCCTGCAAAAGCATGGGATTGAGAATCGGGTCTTGACCATTACCACTGATAATGCATCCAATAACTCAAAATTGGCAGAGTATTCAGGACTCCCTTCAGCCACTCGAGGTACCAAACCAAGCACCAGTTATTTGTGTACCATGCATGACACATGTAATTCAACTGAGTTTGAAAGGGCTTCTTGGTAAGATGAAAGCAAACCCAAGGAAAAATGCAGAAGAGATGGAATGGACTGAAGAAGAGAATGGAACTCAGCAAGGACATGGGGAAATTTTATATACTCTCAACAAGGTATGCTATTCTCTTTGATACTGCCTTAATTTATACTCATGATATACAAGGTTCGGCAGCTTGCAGCCTACATCAACAAAAGCCCTCAACGTCGAGAGGCCTTCCAGAACCTCCAGATACCAGAACCAAAGCTTGTACTGATGCAAGATGTAAGGACCCGCTGGAATTCAACATATCTGATGCTTCGACGTGCTAAGCGGCTACAAACTGTTTGTGATGAGTTCTGCATGCAGTATAGTCGCCATGACCTACAGCTAGGCCAGGAGGAATGGCAGCAGGTTAATTATCTTCTTACAATCACCCAGCCTTTTTATACCTTCACAACCACCCTGTCAAAGAGCAAGGATATCACAGTCCATACAATCCTTGGTATCTACAACAAACTGTTCAGTCATCTAGAGAAATCGATGGCAAAGCTTGCACGAAAGAAAGTCAACTGGAAAACAGTGATGTTATCTGCCCTGAAGCAAGCTAAGTCAAAGCTATCCTAGTATTACAGCATGACTGATGAAATTTCTGGTAATCTCTATGCAATTTGTACGATTTTGGCCCCACAAAATAAGCTTCATTTCTTTTCAACAAAGAAGTGGGAGCCATGCTGGCGCATACAATATCGAAAAAGGCTTGAGGATTACCTTATGCCCTACCAACAGCAATATTCAGATACACAGCCTATATACAATGGCCAGTGTTCAGCAGATCAGATCTCTGATATTGACATGCTTATCACATCAGCTACATCATTTGAGCCACAGATGGATGCCAACAATGAGCCTACATGATATCTTGGAAGCAGTATGCTACTCAATTGACCTCTCTCATCTCCCTTGCTTATCTTATTTCTAGGCACTCGTCTGATTAATCCACGGCTTTTCTGGAAAGATCAGCAGCATGAATTTCCTATCCTTGCAAGCCTGGCACAGGATATGCTTACAACTCCTGCTACTGGTTCTGGTGTTGAACGACTGTTCAATTCAGCTCGTGATATATGTCACTACCGACAAGGCTCTCTAAAGCCCAAAACAATAAGGGATGTTATGATGCTTATGTGTACATCAAAATTTGATATTGAATCAGAGCAGCTAACCCTTGTTGATGAATCTCTCACAGCCCAGGAAATTCAAGCAGCAAGAGAAGGGAATGATGCACACAAGACAGGAAATGAATTTAATCCAATTAGTGATGATGGGGAAGATACTCTAGTGACTATATCTCAACTGGCACAGCTGCCCAGTGAATGTGTGCTCAGTAAAAGGCCAAGGACTGATGCCACAGACGACCAGGAGCCATCAACTGAACTATACAATGAGAATGATGAAGATGAAACCCCTCTGCCTGACAACAGCAACCTACATGGCCAAAATAATACTCGGAGGCGAACATCAGGGCGGGTTCCGAAGCGTCTGAGGCGAGATGAAGATCAGTTTGTGTATCATAAGCCTTAAGAATAGTAGAATTAAATACCTGAAAGCCCTCATATAATTCTCTACTATGATTACTTACTCTGACCTCTCTCTCTGAACTGTAAATCAATTACACAATAATACAGACAAAATGTGCATATCACAGTATTTCCTATGTTTGCACTGTTTGTGGAACTTGAGGTTCAAGTCGAACCTGTCAGGTTTGATTCTAAAAACCCTGGAATCGGATCGCGACCCTATGATCTTGGAACCTGAACCTGAATCTTGGCGGTTTCGAATCGAATCGAACCTGACGAGTCGCGACTCCTTACGAGGTCTACCCCTAAGTGAGCGACCTCCAAATACGGATCCGAAACTACGTAGTAGTAGTAATAGTAGTAGTAGTAGTAGTAGTAGTAGTAGTAGTAGTAGTAGTAACGTAATCAACCAGTTTCGCCGCAACTTCTAAATCAACATTATTGAACACGCCTTTTGTGCTACTACCAATAAAAATGCTTTTACCTAAAGAGACTCGAATGCAGATGGCTATACCGGCTTGTCAAAAGAAACAAATTAAATCAAGAACTGCTGCTGCTGGGGTGTTTGGAGTATCAAGAGAAACCTTTCGTGATTGGCTTCAAGGTGTAAAACCACGCGCAGTAACACGCGCCAATGGCCATGAATTAACATCTATTGAAGAAGAATCTGTTGTCAAGTGCCTGCTGGATGCAGATAAACGCGGCTTTTCAATCCGACCGCAGTTTCTGCGTGGAATGGCGCATATCTTGCTTACTGAGCGTACACAAGACCCTACTGCAATTATTAGTATCAGCTGGGCATCTAAGTTTGTCAAACGCCATCCAGCACTGCGTACAGGATATAATCGGAGAATCACATATCAGCGTGCAAAGCAGGAGAATCCAAAGGTCATAAAACAGTGATTTGAGACTGCATGCAGCTATTCAAGAACATGGCATACATGAAGATGACATTTGGAACTATGACGAAACTGGCTTTGCAATGGGACTCTATATAACATCAAGGTCATTACTGCAATGGAGCACAGTGAGAAACCTTGTACCACTATCCAAAGAAACCCAAGTCCTCCGCTCCCCTCCAAAGCTGTCAACTGGTGAACGGGTGAACCGGTGAGGACAGGAGCCGCCCCAAGCCAGGGCCCGCGCTGGACCACCGGCCACCAACCCGAGTCCTCCGCTCCCCTCCAAAGCTGCCAACTGGCAAAGGGCAGGGCACATTGGAACCGCACCCCCTGGCACCTACCACCCTCCGTTCTCCGTCTCGCCCTCAGCGGCAAAGGCCCACGTCCGGTCCATCCAGAC